ACATCTTTATATATAACATATTCTAAAAAAATACACTAAATTTAAATTTTCTTAATAAATATGAAATATAGTTTTTTTTTTCTGATATGGAATAGTATTATATTTTATCCAAAAAATGAACTATACTTTTGTTCCTTAATTTTAATTGATCCATCATACATAAGTGAATTTTAAAATATCTTTGTTGTTATAACGCAAGATTTAAGTGGTAGAAATAAACAAGAAATCAATCAATAAAGTCAACTTTACAACAATCATGTGTTTATATGACTCACGCGAACTAAACTTAATTCCTTTATTAACTAAATTACAATTAAATTCAAACACTAGAAACATAACCTAAATATAAACAGGAAGGTTGAATTAAATAGAGACCAGAGAGGATTTTTCTTTAGTTAAAAAATACTTCTTAACACTGGTAGTTTTAAGAATTGATATAAAATTGATCATGAATCGAGTGTATTTGTATGTTTAAGGGAAAAATTCTAAGAGGTAGCAAATACTCTTCAAATTGAACCTTATAGAGTTTAGTAAAACTCCAAAATTGGGATTTGTTGCATCATAACATAACCAATAACACCCATCACATATGTGAGTTGCTCGGTGTTAAAGAAAGTAGAATGAATGTGTATAGTAGTACTATGCAAGTTTTGTTTGTATGTTTCATTAATTTATACAATAGTCTCTCTCTCTCTCTCTCTCTCTCTCTATATATATATATATATATATATATATATATATATATATATATATATATATATATATATATATATATATATATATATATATATATATATATATATATATATATATATATATATATATATATATATATATATATATATATATATATATATATATATATATATATATATATATATATATATATGATTTGGGTTTGTTATAACTAACTTAAGAGTTAGTTATTCTCTCTAACTACCTATTTATGTTACTTTACACAATTGATACCATGGTCATGCATGCTTCTCATGTACAGTTGCATGACCTTCGTCTAATACGCCTCCTCAAACTCATGGGAGATCGAAAATAGATAGACACCTTGAATTTGTCACGAAACAAAGAGAATATTATTGTAGACAGTGGTTTGGTGAGAGCACTAGCCATTTGAGCATACGCAGGAACATGCTGGATCTGAAGTTGATTAGAAACTACCTTCTCATGAACAAAATGTATGTTCAATTATATGTGTTTGGTTCACGCGTACAAGACGAGATTATGAGCTAGCATCATTGCACTCATGTTATCACATAGAAGCATAAGGACATAATGCTTGATTCTAAGCTCGGATAGAAGCGAGTGGAGCCATATAAGTTTCATTATGGTGTGAGCTAACGCATGATACTCTACTTTTATGCTGGAACGTGTCACCCATACTTTCTTCTTGGATTTCCATGCTACGAGTTTGGCCCCAAGAACACACACGAGTCAGATGTTGAACGTCTGTCATTTAGGTCGTTGGCCTTGTCAAAGTCATTATACGCACGAATAGGTGTGTGGCTGGTGCTAAACGAAGTCCATGTGAAGTTGTACTGCTCAAGTATTGCATTATGCACTTAATTGCAGACCAGTGAGATTCGAAGGGAGATGCCATGAATTATCATATTTTATTTACTGAAAATGCTATGTCTGGTCGAATGAGTGTGACATATTGTAAAGCACCAACTATGAAACGATATAGTAGAGGATTTGGGAGGAGATTAATTCCATGTTTACTTAGCTTGCGTTGACTAAACATGGGAGTGGCAACACCTTTTGCCTCATTCATGTTAACCGTGGCAAGTAAGTCTGTAATGTACTTTGTTTTTGAGTTAGCAAAAGTGTTCCTTTGGCCTGGTGATGGACTTCAATGCCCAAAAAATATCGAGGAGTGCCAAGTTTCTTAAGTGCAAACTTATCATGTAGTTTATCAATGAGGACTTGGATAAGTTTAGTGGATGAACCAGTGACAAGTATATCATCCCCATAAACGAAGGTATACATCATGATATTATTATGATTGTAGACAAAGAGTAAATGATCACAACGACTAGAAACAAAACCAAACTGAATTAGGGCATGGTGAAGTTTCTCATACCATGCACATGAAGCTTGCTTGAGGCCATATATTGCCTTTTTGAGTTTTTAAACCATGGGAGCATCAGAGTTATGAAAGCCTAGTGGTTGATCCATGAATACTTCTTCATGCATGTCCCCATTGAGTAATGCGTTACTGATATCAATTTGTTGAATTTCCCACTTGAGAGTGATAGCCAAAGTCAGGACAACTCTAATTGTTATGGGCTTGATGGCTGGTGAGAAGGTCTCATGGAAGTCGAATCCACGTTGTTGATGAAAGCCCTTGGTAACGAGCTTGGCTTTATACTTGTTAACACTCCCATCAAGATTCTCCTTTACTTTAAATACCCACTTACACCCAATTGTTTTCCAGTGAGGTGGAAAAGTAGTGAGAACCCAAGTGTCATTCTTCAATAAGGACTCATATTTTGTCTTCGTGACTTCAAACCAGTGAGGTTGAACTAAGGCTTGCTTAACTGTACTAAGTTCTGCGTGAGCTAATAACATTTTGGGTTTAAAGATGCCAAGTTTGGCTCTTGTGATCATAGGTTGGGCATTTTGCACATGAGGAGTAAGGGAGGGTTGGTCATGAAAGGAGGGAGATATGGATGTATATTCCTCATGTGACATATGCCAAACAATGGTTGACTTAGGGGTCACATTATTGCTGGTACCAGGTGAAATAGAATTTGGGACTATTATATCGGGGGTGGATTCAGGATGAGCATCAGGGGCATCATAAGGAGTGGAGGGTTCAGCCAAAGGTGGACTATTTGTTGATGCAGTGGGCACACTTAGGGTGGAGTTTGTGGGTGATTGAACTGTATTAGGTGTGACACTATTGGTGGAGCCATTTAAGTGAATTTAGATGAGACCTATAGGAAGTGAGGCCAAAGATGTTTGTGTGTCTATATGAGTTTGCTCATGTAGTTTAAAGTCAGATTGAAAGGGAAACTCATGCTCATTGAAGGCCACATCTTTGGAAATAATGATATTACCCTCCATGGTGAGACATTTGTTCCCTTTGTGTGTTGGAGAGACACTCAAGTACACACACTTAGTGCTTCTGAACTCTACCTTGTGGCGATTGTAGGGTCTCAGATGAGGGAAGCAGGCACAACCAAAGATCATTAGTGCATCATAATATGGTTGTTTGTTATGCACGAAGAAGATATGTGAGATATATTGAGGACGTGCACTCGTAGGAAGCCTATTTAGTAAATATACTGCATTGGTGAAGTTGTGATCCCAAAATGTAATGGCCAAAGAAGCATGAGCTAGTAGAGTGAGCCCAGATTCAACTATTTGTCGATGCTTTCGTTTGACAGTTCAATTTTGGTATGATGTGTGAGAGCAAGTAAGTTTGTGCATAATGCCTTGCTCTTGAAGTAACTTGATGAGAGGTCGAAATTCACCTCCAAAGTCAGATTGAACTTCCTTAATGTTTACTTGAAATTGTGTTGCCACATATTTTTGAAAGAGTTTGAATGCAGCCATAACATCACTCTTTTGTGTGAGAAAATAAATCGACGTGTATCTAGAACAAGAATCAACAATTAAAATGTAGTAAGAGTAACCCACACTTGAAGGTGAGGGTGAAGGCCCCCACAGATCAGTAAATACAAGGTCAAATAGGTGAGTGTAATTGGTTTTTGATGCATGTGCGTGTAATTTGTGAGACTTTCCAACACAAACGGAATTGCAAAAATCATTGTAACTTTTATTACTCAAAGAAAGCTTACACAATTGAGAAATTTTATTTAGAGATTTAGAAATTGCATGCCCTAATATAGCATGCCAAATGGCCCAACTTTTATGCTTAACAACTTTATTGTTACAAGCATTAATGTTATTAGAAGCAGCTAGAGTAGTGTTCACAATTGGGATAGTTTTGAGAAACTTATTGCTTAAGCTAGGTCTTGAGAGTTCCAAATACAAGCTATTGAAGCAATATAATCCACTCTCGTTTAGGAAGCCTTCAAGAATAACAACTCTAGATGCATGAGATTTAGCAAAACACATATTAGAAAGTTATATGAAAAACTATTTAAAATAATTTTTTAAAATTTTGATATTTAAAGAAAGTTATAAGAAAAAGATGAAATACTTAATCTTACATTTAAAAAAAATATTTAAACTAATTTTTCACGGCGTAATTTAAACAAATAGATGGTTGTAATATAGTGCATGGAATGGAATAGCAATTGCAATAACGGTTGGCTTAGAACAACTAATTTCGGTAAGATTGATGGCGTAATAGTTTCACCATTTTGTAAGATATTGGTCTTATTCTATTTGTTTGACTTACAAACACATTATTTAGTGGAAACCTTGAAACTCATGTATCTCACTTTACTATTGAGCTCAAAGGTCTGCTAAACCAATTTAATTGATAATTGTGTAGAAATATTAAAATCACATATGCGGATAACTTTATTTTGTTTTTAAATTAAAAAGAAATTGATATTTTCTGTACGTACTATATAATTTAAAACTAAATACATTTTTAAAAAAAATCAAATTTTACTTGAACTTCTTATATGAAGATGTATTATAATTTTCACCATTGGTCCGTCAAGTGAATCTGTTGCCGTGACAGTGCAACAACATGCACACAGTGGCATTAAAACAAAGAAATAAATCAACATGGTCAACTATTCAACAACCATGTGTTACAATTGAAAAATTCAGTACTATCAAAGCAATTTCCAGTTTTATATTAAATTCCACACCCAAGCTTCACTGCAACTTCTTACTCAATAAAATCATTGGTCCCACACACTTCACAAATAACGTGGGTCTTCAATTCAAAATCTCCTATATAAATCACACCCCTATCTCATTCTTAACCACAACACATTTTCCTCAATTTTTTTTCTTCCCTTTTCTCACTTTCTAGTCATCAACATATATAAAATTTCTAAATGGATAACCTACCAAAATGTCAAGCAAACTATACTACACTCACTCCTTTAACTTTCTTGATGAGAGCTTCTGCTTCTTATGCAAACCGTCTCTCTGTCATCCATGATGCTGCCCGTTTCACTTGGTCGCAAACTTACGACCGATGTCGCCGCCTCGCTTCCTCCCTCCGCGCCCTCAATATCGCCAAAAACGATGTTGTAAGTCACTCACTAGATCATTTTTCAACACAATATTCATGCATGCATACAATTTTTTTTTAATAAAATTTATTAAATAATTAATGTATAATACAATTTTTTTTTAATAAAATTTATTAAATAATTAATGTATAATACGAATATTTTAATTAATTTTTTTTGTTTATCAAACAGGTATCAGTGTTGGCACCTAACATTCCAGCAATGTATGAGATGCATTTTGCAGTACCTATGGCAGGAGCTGTGCTAAACACAATCAACATCCGTCTCGACGCAAAGAACATAGCCACAATCCTCCGACACGCCGAATCAAAAGTCTTCTTCGTCGACTACGAATTCGTCTCCAAAGCAAAAGATGCTTTGAGAATACTCATGGAAGAAAAAGATCAACAAAACTACTCGTCACTTCCGCTGGTGATCGTCATAGACGACATAAACACTCCGACCGGGATCAGACTAGGTGAGCTCGAATACGAAGAGATGGTCCATCGCGGTAATCCGAATTACATTCAGGAAGAAATTGAAGATGAATGGTCACCAATTGCATTGAATTATACATCAGGTACAACTTCAGAGCCTAAAGGTGTTGTTTATAGTCACAGAGGTGCTTATCTTAGCACTTTGAGTTTGATTCTTGGATGGGAAATGGGTAGTGAACCAGTTTATCTCTGGACATTACCTATGTTCCATTGTAATGGTTGGACATTCACTTGGGGTATTGCTGCAAGAGGAGGTACTAATATTTGTATCAGAAACACTGCAGCATATGATATATATAGAGCCATAAATCTCTATAATGTGACACACATGTGTTGCGCGCCGATTATTTTCAACGTGATTCTAGGCGCGAAAGCGAGCGAGAAGAGGCCGATAAAAGCTCCGGTTAATATACTAACCGGGGGAGCCCCTCCGCCCGCGTCGCTACTAGAGAAAATTGAGCCGCTTGGTTTCCATGTGACACATGCTTATGGACTAACGGAGGCAACAGGGCCTGCACTTGTTTGTGAGTGGCAGAAGAAATGGAATGAGTTACCGAAAACGGAACAGTCGATGCTGAAAGCGAGGCAGGGTGTGAGTATTCTAACACTCGCTGATGTTGATGTGAAGAATCTTGAAACAATGGAGAGTGTGGCGAGAGATGGGAAAACAATGGGGGAGATTGTTTTGAAAGGAAGTGGAATCATGATGGGGTATTTCAAAGACGGAGAAGCCACGGCGAAGGCGTTTGGAGATGGTTGGTTTAGAACCGGTGATGTTGGTGTTATTCATGGAGACGGTTATTTGGAAATCAAAGATCGATCCAAAGATGTTATTATATCCGGAGGCGAAAATATCAGCAGTGTTGAAGTTGAGAATGTTCTTTATAGCCATCCAAAGGTTCTAGAAGCTGCTGTTGTTGCAATGCCACATCCAAAATGGGGTGAAAGTCCTTGTGCTTTTGTGTCACTTATGAAAAATGATGAAGAAGAAAAAAGTGATTATTCTTGTGTTACTCAGGATGAGATAATTGGTTATTGCAGGAAGAATTTACCTCACTTTATGGTACCTAAGATGGTTGTTTTAATGAAGGAATTACCAAAGACTGCAACAGGTAAGATTCAGAAATTTGAGCTAAGAGTCAAAGCTAAGTGTTTTGTGATGAATGATGATGAGAAGAACAAGAATAAGAACAAGAACAAGAAGACTAATAATAATCAAGTCAATCAAAACAATTACCAGATTATGGCTATGTCTCGTCTTTGAAAGTTTTCTATAAAGTCTTGTTTAATGAATACTATGTTGTGTACATATTGAGTTTCAAACTGTTTAATTTACATCTATTTAAATAGTTCACACATGAAGAACTTTGAGGCTTAAGTTTGTATTTTCTATGCATGTTTTGTGGAAGAATGTGTAAGAATATATAAGTAATAGTAACTTTTTTGTATTCTACTTTTCTTGTTGGTTGTTTCCTCTTACTTGGTTCAACACTTCTAGTTATGTGCTTCAAATGATTTAATTTTATTTTTCTTTTTACTCCCAATTCTATGATTGCCTCAATGAAAATGGACTTCTACATGCACAAAATTGAATAGACTAATTCTTTTATATTTTTTATCTATTAATCTATTGGTTGAAATTTCAATCTTTAAAAATAAATAACTAAAATGTCACATATTTGAATTCGTAAATTTGTATTCGAATTTTCTTATATAGTTATTAAGAGTTGTCTTAACTAGATTATAGATATTTTATTATTTCTTCGATTTTATAATGAGTGATTCAATTAATCATTTTAAATATATTAAAAAAATCATATAAAAATAAGAAAGAAAATAATATTTTTATTATAGTACCTCTATTATATATTGAGAATGATAAAAGATTTATTAATTAGATGATAAAATTTTATAAAAAAAATCTTAAAAATTAAAATAGATCATTTATTTTAAAATATAATTTTATTTCAAATAAATATTCATTATAGAAGGGAAGGAGTAATTATTACTAAATGGGGTCTACAAAATTTAAATTTAAAATGAAGATTTGCCGGGTATACTTATTTTGTTTAGAGAAGTATAATCCCATTCTTTCTACATGTGATAGAGGTAAATAGCATTTAGATTATCTTTAACAGATGGTTCCTTTTATAGATCTCTAATATGGCATATTTTAAAAGTTATTTTTCATCATTGGAGAGAGAAAATTTATTTTCAATTGGTACTACAGTCGCAACAGCATACAACGTAGTTTTGCATTAAAATATTAATAAAATAATTTTTTTAACAATAGATAGTTATATATGAGTTAAAATTGCAGGATTCAATATAAATTCTTTAAAGTTATATTATTGAAGTAAAAAATTAATTAAGTTACTTCAAACTGATGTGATTTAATAGATCCTATAAAAAAATTCAAAAATAAATTCACTGTTAGATGCTTATAAAGAATACAAAGTCACCAACTATATACTTATTAATACGGTCACAATTTTAATAGAAGTCTTTGTCTGTCAGCACTTGTTAACAACATGGAAATTTGTAACTACCTGAGCAATTACTACTCCCTCGTGGTCCTTGTGTAAGTGTTTAACGAAGAAGTTAACTTTTTTATAGAAAACGATTGACGTATGATTGGTCACATAATTATTTAAGATATTTTATTTAATAAAATAGTTAATATAATTAAATAAATATATTAAGTCACATAATTATTGAAATGGTAATATATGATTAAATAATTAAAATATTTCAACAATTTTTCATTTAGACAATATATTTTAATAATTATATCATAATTTTTAGACGCACATCTAAATATTATTTATCTTTAGATTTCAACTTTATAATTTGGTTTACCTCGTACATCAATAATGGGACAATCGCGATTGTCGTCACTAACGTATAACGGAATGAAATTCCAACGACCACCACCTCAACATACTTGATGACATAGATTAATATGGATGAGTGACATAGAAATTTCATGCAATGTGATATCTACATCATGCAAATTTTTAATTTGTCTTACTGAGTCTTTAGTGAGATCAAACTGAAGTTTCTTAGGTGCAATTCAAAATTACAATATTTGCACTTAATAAAAAATAACTTGACATTGTTATAACAATAATACCTCATAAGTTTTTGTTTTTATTTCTGTAGAAAATTAAAGATAACATAGAGTTGTACCAAAATAAAATCAAAGTATAAAACATAGAAAAGTAAGGGAAAAAAAGAACTCCTACTAATCTAAAGCAATCTCAAAACCAAGACCCATGTGACAAACAATTTCATGAAAAATTTTACGTGTCAAACTTTTGATTAGTAGACCAGCTAGCATTGAGTTTGTCCCTTATATATTTTATCAAAATTTGTTTCTCCAAAACTCTTTCTAACATTGGCTAAGTCACAAGTCCAAGTCAAGTCAGTAGGACCAGACGTGGTATTCAAATTTTTATTTTTTTGTAAATTAAAATTTCTAATGTTCAAAAAGTGGAATAAACATTTAGTTAAGCCACAAACTCAAGCCGAGCCGACTAAACAAACTACATGTGGTATGTATTATTGACACTGCTACCTATCCTTTGATCAAGCCACAAGGTGAACCTATCATACCACATATAGTATTAATTATGAGAATTTCCTTGTCCACTTTTTAGGAATAGAAAATTTTTTTAAAATTTGAAAATTTTTTTTAGAGATGTATTTTCGAACACACTGTAAATTAAAATGTTTCAGAGATATATCTCTAAAAATATTTAAAATATTAAATTTTTGGATGAATTCGAAAATATATTTCTGAAAATATTCAAGATAGAATTTTGTTTATGCATAATTTGTAAATATATTTTCAAAACAAAAAAAAAAAATCAAAGAATGTTTCGGAAATGTACTTTCAAAAATATCCTATTTTTGTTAAAAAAAATAAGGGATTGTTTTGGAAGTGTATTTCTGAAACATGTCCTGACACAAGATAAAAATTCTTGAGACCAAATTGTTCCAAATCTTCTATAAATAGAGTGTCTAAACCATTTCTCCAACATCATACACCACATATGAGTTATCAAAAATGTTGTGACGTTCTCTCATTTACCCGTTTATAACAACATGTAATGTTAAATTTATGTTTCAATATCTTTGTAATTTTGACTTTCAATGTTAAATTTATGTAATTGTTTATGTAATATCTATGTAATATTAATATTTCAGTATCTATGTTATATCTCCATAATTTTCCGTTTCAACGTTTCTTCGAAAATCATTCAATGTCTAGATCAAAAATGTACATCTGAAATATAGCATTGAATATCTTCGAAAATACATCTCCGAATTCACCTAAAAAAATGAAATTTTGTAACTTCGATAATACATCTTCAAAATCACTCTAAAAAAAATTCGACAATACATCTTTAAATTACTCTTGAAAAAATAAACTTTGGTATATTCAGAGATACATCTCCAAATTTTAAGAATAAAAATAGAATTTCGTCAAAAATGACTAAAAAAATATAAAGGTGAAAAAATAAATTCCCATTAATTGTTGGCATCTCTTCCTATATTTTGTTCAAAACATTTATAAACTTTTCAAGCACACCTCAAAGAGACTACCTCCGTTATATAAACCTTTAAAATATATAAAATATGTAAAAGTTGTCTATAATAAAAGATTAAAAGAAAATTCAATTTATTATAATATTAAATGCTTAAACATATAAATGTTACAACAAGCTAATAATTAATTAAGAGAGAGTAACTCTTCCTATTGAACTCAAACATCAAACATTATTAATGATTAAAATGTCTTCTGATTAGAATTGATAATAAATCTAATAAATTCGAAAAGAGTTTAAAATTCAATTCGATAATTAAATCGTTAAATTAATTTCATGAATCTATGAATTGAATATGAACGAAAAAACTAATTTTATTAATTAAATGAGTTGAATTTAAATTATATATAGTTCGACTCGTTAGATTTATGAACCAATTCGATTATATATGAGAAATTATATTATCTTTAAGAAAAGATTTAAACATTTACTCTAAATTTTAGTCCAATATCTTTTTTAATCTAACAATTTTAATTGATAATTTATATTCTCAAGTGAGCAAACGATTTATAAAAATAATTATACAAATAAAATAAATATCATATAATTAATTAATTTTTAAATTAGTAGATATTTGAGACAAAGTTAAATTTCAATCCGATCTTTCATTTTATTTCAATATTTTTTTAAATAATATTAATTTAAAATGTCAAATACATAAAAAAAATAGACTTTAAAAAATGTCTTTTAAATCCGTGAAACAAACGAACTAAAGTTAACAAGATGAATCTAATGAGTCGAATCAAGTTGTTTGTGAACTTATAAGGAGTCAAATTTGAGCTTAAAAAAAAAGTAATGTCAAAATCGAACCAAGATTTGAGCTGAACTAATTTTTAACGAATTGAAACAAATTCGATTTGACTCGACTTATTTCCAACTCTACTTCAGATGAATCTTTTCATTTATGCTATCAATTACTCATGTTACTCTCTTTCTTTATAATCGATACTTTTTTATTTTTTACAAATACTAAAAAAGATAATAATTATTGTTACTTCTTTCGTCTCAAAATAAAAGTTTTTTAAAATTATTTCACACAAATTAATAAAAATAAAAAAATAAATGTAATACATTTACAAAACTGCCTTAATTATTATCGATTACTTTTACATTGTTATAAATGTTAAATGAAATTTAATGACTTGAAAGTTGTTCATACATAATTAATTAAAAGTAAATTGACTCTTATTTTATACAAATTTTTTAAGTTAAAAAAACACCAGACAAAAGAATGTTTTTTAAACAATAATTTTTATTTTATCTATAATATCATTAACTATTTATTATTTCAATTACTTTTTTCTCTTTCCATAATAAATATTAAAGATAATTTTGACAAAATATTAATCATTATTATTTTAAATTTTAAAAATAATAATTAAAAAAATTAAGTGATAATTAAAAAAAAGTCATAATTAAAAAGAAACGAATAAAAATACTAATTAACTAATTACATTTAGAATAAAACTACAAAATTTTTAAACCACATTTATATTGTACTCTGATCCTTATTACTCCCTCGTTTTTTTTTAAACATTGTTTTAAAATAATTATTTTATTTTTATTTAAGTGTCGTTTTTATAGTTTAATATTGTTTTAGACTGGATCCGCCGTGGTCCGAAGCGTAGATAAAGGCTCAGTCCAAGCAAACTCT